AATAACTTTGTGACATGGCCTTAGTAACTCATTTTGTAAAATATTTCAAAACTGTATTTTCAATGTGGACTCATACACAGTCCGAGGGTTAAAAACCAAAAGCTCTGATATCAATAAATGTAACCCCCTAGACCCGGCCTATGCGTTTCGATTAAGTCTAGTGGATCACATTATGATTATTAAAGACATTTTCCGAAATCGTTATTCCATCAATATAAAATCACATTATAAATAACATGAAATTATAAACAAATTATACTATCAAAATCCAACTCGTAAATATAGTACCAATAAATAATAATTTAATTTAAAACATGTCTTCAAATTCAAAATCACAATAAACCGAGCAGTAATAGCAAAAGAGTCATCATTATAAAATCCGATATTTAAAATAAGGTCCATGTCACCAAAATAAAGTCAACTTGCAAGATAAAAACATTACAATCTGATTTACTTCAAGAGATATATTGATCCTCCAAGTGCTCGAACCGAGGTATCTAACCAACAGTATCTGAAAGGGGGAAAACATTTTCAAAAGGTGAGTTAGGCTCAGTGTGTCCCAACATTTCCATAAAATGTCAATAGGTACAAATCATAGTCCAGTAATCTCACAAATTCGTAAAAGAGTTTAACTTTTGAAAATCATAGTTTAAACCCTTTTCTGGTACACCATCAGTAGTTCCCAAAATTATTTTCCATATATGCACATAGCAAAAAGAAAGCCGACTTAAGGATAGGCTCTGAAGCTTGTATCCTTAAGCCCAAGTCAATAAGTCCATATAGCTTACCCTAAGCACACAACAAAGGAAAGCCGACCTAATGAAACATCTTGGGGCCCTCAAGAGTCACATTAGGCCCATTTAGCTTGATCAGAGCTATTCCATCGTAATTCAATTCCAAAATTCAATTGCACCATGACATAAATTCCATAAATCCAAAAAACATGGTAATCATATACCATTTCAAAACAAAAATTAGATAGCAGCCATATTCCATAAATTGTCACATTAAATTGGTGCATCCATAAAACAATAACCAATGAATTCGGTGTACCACATATTGAAACCAATAAAACAGTTCAGTAATAAGTAGGGAACACACCTCGACAATAGGTTCAAATAACAAATCTACTGATTGCTGGTTTCACCACGCTTTGCTACAGTTTTCGAACGCGTGAATAATGGCACACGTGGTTTAACTGATCTAGAAGAGCTGGGTCGAGTTGTCGAACGATCCGGAGAGTCTCTTGTACCTTCAAACAATAATAATCTATCAGTCCCAAATCCTATTTAATTGTTCAAAACTAGACTTCTTAAGTATATAAGCATTTTTCAGGTTTGACTATCAATTTGGGGTATTTCGAGTCTGAATTTGGCCAAACGGATTGCGGAATCGGAATCAGGACGTCGAAAAACATAAATTACGACTTTTCGAAAATTCAGATTCTTGGTCAAAGTCAAAGTCAACTACTTTGATCATCGATTTGGAGGCCTTCGGGTTTGAATTTTACAAAACGGACAGCGGAAACGGATTTGGCACGTCGAAAACTATCAGGATAGGTATACTCGGAAAAGATTAACGGTCGTTTAATGCTCGGTCAAAGCCATTTTAAGTTTTGGTCAAAGAAAGTCAACGGTCAATGGTCGGGTCGGGTCGGGTCAACGGTCGGGTCGGGTCGGGTCGGTCGGTCGGGTCAGATCGGTCAAACCAGTTCAGATCGGTCAAACCGGTTCGAACCGGTCGAAACCGGTCAGAACCGGTTGAAAACCAGTTAAACCGGTTTCCAGCAGCCACTCGCCCTGCGGCGGCGCGTGTGGCGCGTGAGGCGTCCTCCGGGGCCCTAAAAATCCCGAAAAAATTTCTAAAAATTATTTTGAGCGATTTCGAGATACTTACAACGATCGGTTCAAATTTTTGAACGGCGGAGAGCTCGATTTCAAATCGGCCGAATCTTTGACTGCACCACCTCCTCACGCGCCGCCGTCTACGGTGGACAAGGTTGACACCGGTGAACTCGAAACGACACAAGGAACACGATGGTGCAGGAGGTGTCGTAAACTGAGCAACGATCGGCGGTGAATTTGAGATTTTCTCGGCGATAGAGCTAAAAAAACGTCGATGCTTTGACTTGAAATTCCCGACGTTTAGCAGCGTTTCACTTCAATTAATTTAAGGGGATTGTTCCTGACTCGATAACGAACACGATGGTGGTTTCAATTTGACGATCGGATGTCGAACGGCGTCGGAATCGGACTTGAAAGTCGAGGTGCGGGAGGAGTGAAAGTTTAAGAAAAGCTTTTGTGTTTTCTGATTGAAATCAGAAAACACGTTAGTTATAACCAAACTTGCCGACACTTTTAGGTGAAATTCAGGGTTTGGTCCCTGAATTTTCTTTACTTTGAAAATGGCATACAAGTTTTCATAAATTATACTTTAATCACTTAATTTCATCCATTTTCACAATTTACCAAAATTTCAATTAATATTATTTTATAAATAGCCGGATTATTTGGACTTAGTCGTACGCTCTCTCTCTTCTTTTGCTTTGCAGGACGGGATTCATTCTTTGCAGCTCCACTCCGTAGTCCATGGTCTTTCATCAACCCCCCCTCTTTTTTTGTGGAGCTCCCCATGGATTATTTGTTATAAAAATAATGAGGTAATGAGAAAAGATCCAAGCTAAGGAAGGAGGGTGAAATCCATATGTGATCTCGCGGTAAAACGTGGCGGAATATATGTGGTGGAACAGACACATCAGAAGGATTACGTATGGACATTCAATGCAGGGGATCGCTGATTGGGGGATTGCTGAAAGAAAGGAAAAAAAATTTGAAAAAGGCCAATCCTTTTTCTTTTCTCGGGTCGCTGCTGCCGGTCATCAAAGGGTGGGTCCCAAAGGTACCCGGACTAGGATGAGATTCTGCCACGTGGATCGTTCCAGCTGTATTGTGTGTCGTGTTTTGTGTCGGCCTCTCATTCGTCGAACCCACGACTCTGTCACCCCCCAATCTCGTACTGTTGACTTCGTCCCTTCCTAATTCAAGGGATACGATTTTATCTAATTCAAGGGATTCGATAGATAGGGATTAACATTTGAGGTAAGTTTCATGAGATGCTATTTGATTTAAGTTCATGTGAATGAAGAGATTGTATTCGAATCAAGTACAAATGAATTAAAATTTGATTGGACTGGATTCATGATCATCTCTAAATATAAATATGCACATTCATGGATAATTTTAAAAAAATATTAGAGAAATTTAAAATCGTAACCTATAACTAGAAATCCTAACATTGAAGAAAAAATCTGATAAGAGATTAAATGATCGATTACGTAATTGAACCTCAATTAATATAAGAAATGATAAAATGTATAATATCACATATCGAAAAATATGAAAGTCAGTAGAGATAAAATGAAATATTTATAATACGAATCTCATATATCATTATTATTATTGTCTAAAGCAACAAAAATTATGTAATACTAAATAAATCAAAGGGAATGACATTCCTATCATTTGTTTGAAAATGTATTAATGTTGGGAATTTTATATTACCCTTTAGAGGAAATAATTCTCAATCCACACATAAATATTTTTTAAATTTGTCATTTTTTATTAAAAAATTGACGGTAATCTGAAACTGAGTGAGACATGAGAAAATCTGATCCCATAACCCTTTGAGATTTTAAGATTATATTTTAGTATATCATAGTCAACAAGTTAAAATCTAACTCAAACTATCATCAATTTTTTAACGGCAAAGGAAGAATTTGGAACATATCAATAGTTGATGGACTATTTTATGACTTTTAATAGTTAGAAGACTAAAAAATAATGCACTATAACCGGATGATCGTGACTTTCAATAGTTAGAGGACTAAAAAAGTAATATCTTATAATCGAAGATTACTTTATAACATTAAATAATCGAGAATTCAATAAAACAACACCCTAAAATCATCCCGATACTGCTTGTTTACTTTACCCTATTTTTTTAATTTACACTATTAAATTAAAGTTGAATTGTTGACAATTGTACGTGATATGTTAATAAAATGTCTGAATTTTGGGTTTTCATGATTCACAAATGGGTCCACATTCTTCTTCCTATTCCTAGTCTGTCTTTGAAAGACCATAAAATCAATTTTGGAAAAATAAAGATGTGTTGGAACCAATAATATACAAGTCCAGGGCTACCTTTGCTTGTCAAGGGTGCACAATTTTAGTAATAAAATTGGCTTTTTCACACGCACGCACACTCGCACGTACGCGCGCAAACACGCACGTACGCACGCACACACGCACGCACGTACAATTAAATAAATTTATTTAAAAAAGAATATAAGAAGATTTACCTATAAAAGCCATTTATAATATCATCAATTTATTTCTAAACCCTATTACATACTATTTATTTATAGAATTAGTTTATTGTTTTATAAAAGAAATTTACATAAAAGGAAATACAATTAAAATAAATTTACCACTATTCATCGGCACAGTGTTTTTTCCTGCTACGGATTAATTTTTTAATATATCATTATATATTTTTATTTTAAATAAATTTCTTTCATAATCAACTCGAATCTATAAAAGAATAGATCATACAATTGTAACACGTTAATTTACATCGCTTATGCATCAAAAGATTCTTGGGAAATACACATAAAATATTACTTGGGAAATACACAAATGAAAAAAAGGGGCAAGAATGATCGTTTAGCAATTTCACAGACATTTTCAAACATGGGGATTGGCAGACAAGTAACACAAAAGATAAAATTAAAAACAAGAGTTGACTTGGTAAAAATCCCCAATTAATTTAAGATTAGAACACCCCATCCGACCTTGTTTTGTTCTACCTTCTATTTAAAACCGCACGGACTAGCTGTTGTATTTGGTCTGGTTTAGTTTCTACCTGCAACTCCAACCTTCAAACATCATCGGAGAAAGAGAAGAATGGTTTTGGAAGTCAACCCTTGAACTTACTGTAAATAAAACCAAGTCAACCCATTTTCATTCCCTTAATTATTCTCCCAGTTTGCATGTTTTGCCTTGAAAAGGGGTTTTTTCCCCTTGTAAAATCTGGGTAAGTTTTGTTTCTTCTTCTCTCTTGGAAACCAGTAGATTTGAAGCAGCTTGGATTCCTGTATGGAAACTGTAACAGTTCCCAAAGTTCGATTGGTTAGATGCCCTAAGTGCCTTTTGGTTCTTCCTGAAGTTACAGATTTTCCTGTGTACAAGTGTGGAGGCTGTGATGCAATTCTTGTAGGTAAGCATCCTTTTTTTCCCCCTTACATTTCTGTGTTCTTTCATGTGTTTAATATGTTTGGATCTTTGTCTTTTACATGGTTTTTCACTGATAATTGAAGCTTAGAGTAGACATGTATTGTCGGTAGATTTCAATTTCTTCCTTTTTTGCAGCTAAAAATAAAAAGGTCATTGCCAAAGCCACCTCTGTCTTGCAAGAAACCGAAGCTGCTACGAATAGGTCGGTTCGTGTGTCCGAACATGGAGAATCTAGCAGCTCGGCTCTGCAAGATGTCCGTCCTCCCTTTTCAAGTCAAGAAAGTGGAGAGGATCGGGATATATCAACCGGCTTTCGTGGTGAGGACTTATCGGTACAAGGGGAACATAAGGGGCGGTACAACAAGGATCTGAATACGTCGAGACACGGTAATGTTGACGGTGAAAGCGATCACAATCGCGGTTCCGGTATGCTTGATGAAAGTAAATCGAATGAAGGGAAGTATAATACATCCGGAGAGAGTGATGGTTTAAGTGGTCGTGTTATGCTTGATGAAAGTAGATTGAATGAAGGGCAGCAGAATGGAACCGGATTGTTGCGGACGGAAACTTTAGATTGGTGCGAGAAGGATCGAAATACGTCCGGATATAGTGATGGCGATGATGGAAGTGATCGTGATATGCTTGATGAAAGTAGATTGAATGAAGGGCAGCAGAATGAAACCGGATTGTTGCGGGTGGAATCATTAGATCGCTACGAGAAGGATCGAAATACATTCGGAGATAGTGATGGTGAAAGCAATCGTGGTATGCTTGACGAAACTAGACTGAATGAAGGGCAGCAAAATGGAACTGAACTATTGCAGACAGAATCTTTCGAACATTGCGATGTTCGACAGCCAGGAGTTTCCACCGAAGGTTCTTTATCCACGGAGCTTCGTCATGGGAATGAAGAGCTAATGCTGGAGATATCGACAGACCCTCATAGCGATGAGCAAGGTGAGGAATTATCGGTAGAAGGCCAGCATAACGGTCGCTATAAGAAGGATCGAAATGCATCCAGAGATAGTGATGTTGAAAGTGATATGCTTGATGAAAATAGATCAAATGAAGAATCAATGTTGGCAGCAAAAACAAATATAGAAGCAGAGGCAAAGGGCATGACCTCGCGGTTAGAAGGTGTAAAATCGGAATTTGAGACGAGCAGCAAGATTGATTCCAATGCCGGAGGCTCTTGGATAGGTGAACATTGCGGAGTTAATGGTTCAAGGTCTACGGATACTTTTCAAACTGTCGATTTTGTCAGCCTTTGTTCCGAGTTCAGCAGCGCTCCCGAATGTTTGTCCAAGTCCACTACCGTTAGAAGTTCTCATGCTTATGAAGGCAGTATTTCTTCTTATGATGGAATTGATGATCACTTCTCTGATCAGCAATTACATTCCTTTGAAAATAGTTATAAGCCTGCCAATAAGAAACATTATGAGACGGATAAATACGGCAAGTGGCACCGAGATGAATCGCTAGAACCTGTAATGCATCACCGTCCACCTAGGAGCTGGCCGAGACCCCAGAGAGATCAATATCCAGCTCAAGTTCCTTTGTCTCAAAGGACTCCTTTGCGTGGCTATGAAAGTGCTGGCCCTTCACGTGAATCGCGAGATGAATTCCCTTTTGATTCGGCCTTTCATCCCTTCGAGAAGGCCAAGTACGGTGAAGAGGAAAACATGAAACTGTTGAGAATGGTATATGAACTGCAGGATCAAATTAGCAGGACATGCAATCTGAATGGAAAGACCAATGCAAGTGCTTCCACTGATGTACCTTGGAAGAAAAACCATTATAACAACCATCTCGACCCACCCGAGGATGAAGATTTTTATCCCGCTTACCACGGAGAACACGGCTTGAACCGGAGAAGTAGATTCTCGCATGTACCCTTTTCCAGAGGTGCAATAAACACTAGTCACAGCATTGACAACACCTGTTTATGCTACCATCCTCAAGCCTGGAAGCATTTGGAGCAGCTGCCTTCGCCCATGTTTCAACATAACCGAGGATTTTGTAGAGGCGGCACGGGCCATAGTTGTTATAATTCATACGGCTCTTTGCCCTGTAGCCCCCAAAGATATATGGAGTCTAATTTTTCTAATAGGGTCCATGAAATTCAATCTGATGACCAGAGATATGGAGACCATGAACTGAAGAGGCACTTAAATGAGAAACATCATACGGTTAGACGACATATCCGACCAACGGCGGGTGGAGCTCCTTTTGTAACTTGTTACCATTGCTTCAGCCCGTTGCAGTTACCTGCAGATTTTCTACTTTTCAGAAGGAGGTTCCATCAGCTAAAATGCGGTGCTTGTTCAAAGGTGCTTAAGTTCTCACTCCGAAAAGGAACCAATATAGTTCCTTACGAACCGATCGCCGCAGAACCTCCACCTATCGAGGTCAAGGACCGCGATGACGCGATTAATGCAAGAATTCCGGGAACGGCATCGATTAGTCACGGTCGCATGCAAACAGATCCTTTGTCTTACTCCGACGATTACGGACACTCTTTCGACATAAGCTGCTCCACAGACGGAAACCCTGATTCTCATGCAAATTTCTACCATCTTCAAGGCAGCAATGCTGATGTCCAAAACATGTCTTCTAGCTCTTCCAAATCTAGGGAAACTTTCGATTCAGTGGTGCAGTCCAGGTCGAAGAAAGTGTCCTCAGAAACCAAAGGGTCGCTACCGAGAACCGGAGGGTTGACGCTTCATCAACTTATGGGGTATTCTTCACTAAGCCAAGTGCTAAGGGGACGTAGGTCATCCATCTCTAGCACAAGCTCATCAAACTTTGGCAAAAACAACTCGGGATTCAATAGCTGAGCGTAGTAGTTATTTTTTTTTTTCTGCAGATATATTGGAGCGGGTGGAAGGATTGACATTACTGTTTGAATTGTATCATGAATGTAAAGGCTTATAGAGGAGGCAATTTACTTGATTTGTTAATTCATATATAGGAAAGATAGATCAGATACCTTATAATTTACATGGATTTGTACGTTCCTTTTTTTATTATACCTATCTTCATTATACATTCATTCTCCTATCCCTTTTGTTTCATAATAGCATGCTAGAATGCAGATGGACTGAAGGGAATGGGTGACGTCCCTCTTGAAAATTTTAATTTCTTATATATTTTTATATTTTTTCTTTATTGTCTATTGATAATCTGATTTTAGACTTTTTAAAATTTTATAAGTTCGATATCTCCTAAAGCTGAATGCAAATCAAATGGGTTGATGCAAATGCCGAAACATTAATCGAAAGCAGAGTACACAGCATGAATGCATGATTAATAGACCTAAACACAAAATCCAGTTTCTCCTCATGGCCGAGCATTACCTTCATCACAAATTCACAAAGTTGTGAAGCGAGAAAACAGTGTGCACCTCATTGAGATTGGATCTTCTCAGATTTAGCCATGTTGACGGTTCAATATTTGGCCTTTAGTTGCCCTCTCTAATTTTTTTTTTAATAATTTAAAATCTGTTCTGATATTTTTTTTTGATTAATTGATCCCCAGAAAACAATATTCTCTTCTCTCAATTGCCCTCTCTAAATTCTTCCTCCGTTTATTGTTTTTATTTTTTTTATATTTGAGGAAATGAAAGAGAGTGATGAATAGCGTTTACGTAATAAGTTGACCAACAATTTTTATTCGTATGAAAAAAAAATTAACTCCCAAAATAAAATAGAGAAAATAACCTCAGTGACCAAAAATCCTAGATAATATACGATTTTGACCAATTTTTTTTTGGATTTGCGAAAATGACCAACAAAATCGCAATGCGATCTCTAATTCGCATTGCGATCTCCACTATCACAAATTCGCGTTGCATTTTGCGTTGCGATAGTTGAAAATCGCGGTGCGATAGTCTACAGTTGTCGTTGCGTTTTTCCATTTCGCGTTGCAATTTTACATTTCGCGTTGCGATAGTCTACAGTTGTCGTTGCGATTTTCCAAATTCGTTGCGATTTTCGAAATTCGTTGCGATAGTCTACAGTTGTCGTTGCGATTTTCCAAATCCGTTGTGCCGTTGCGATTTTCCAAATTCGTTGTGATAGTTAAAAAAAAGATTTTGTTTCTTAAGAATTTTCTCTGAAAAGATAGTATCCGCGCGGACGTGTCGAAGACACGTATTACCACGACCACGACCACGACCACGAGACGAGATGGCGGCGGCGGCGGCGCGCGAGAGTCCCCCTTGTTCTCTATCACTCAACAAGGAAGTGGGAAAGCCAAGCCTTAAATACCATTCCCAATAGTGTTTCCAATACTATGTGGGATTTGAGCATTACCAACACTTGTTCCCAATACTATATGGGATTGAGCCTTAAATAATGATATTATTTTTGAATGTTTTGCTTAAAATTGCAATAATCGCGATTGATTGTAGATTGACTTTTAATTATGACATATTTAATCGTATAATACTAATGCAATTGGTTGCTGATTCGGTTGTTTTAAGGTGCATGATTGTTAATTGTTTCCTGAATAATCACATTGTATTGGAAACAAGTGTTGGTAATGCTCAATCCCACATAGTATTGGAAACACTATTGGGAATGGTATTTAAGGCTTGGCTTTCCCACTTCCTTGTTGAGTGATAGAGAACAAGGGGGACTCTCGTGCGCCGCCGTCGTCGTCCGTCTCGGGTCGTGGTAATACGTGTCTTCGACACGTCCGCGCGGATACTAACTTTTTAGAGAAAATCTTTTTTTTTAACTATCACAACGAATTTTCGCAACGAATTTGGAAAATCGCAACAACAACCGTAGACTATCGCAACGACAACTGTAGACTATCGCACCGCGAAATGGAAAATCACAACGCGATTTTCAACTATCGCAACGCGAAATGCAACGCGAATTTGCGATAGTAGAGATCGCAATACGAATTAGAGATCGCATTACGATTTTATTGGTCATTTTCGCAAATCCAAAAAAAGTTGGTCAAAATCGTATATTATCTGGAATTTTTTGTCACTGAGGTTATTTTCTCAATAAAATATTTAAGATCAAAATATCAACAAAAAAAAAAGAATTAAAGTAATTATTTAATGAAATGCTAAAATAACTTTTATTATAATGCCAAAAAATAATATAATTTTTTTAATTAAAAAGAGATCAAGATGAGGCCGTAGAAATGATCATTAAATCACTAGAGTCATGCCAACCAACCGAATCCAACGCAGAAGGATTGGAGGGCCCTTTCATAACAGCAATTCTAGTAACACGTCCCGTGAGAAGAACTGATCAGATAAATTCTAACGCTAGTTACCATCAAGATTCACCGTATTGGCAATGGGAGTAGACGCAATTTGAGGGGCAATAGTCGGATGAACGAAATGGATTAAGGGCCCTATATCACCGAGCCGAGCGTCATGCCAAAAATTCTCATCCTCACCGGATCCACTTTTCCGAACTATATTGTCCCGAACATCATTCCAAATAACACTAAGACCTTTCCAAAGCCTTGGGCAATTAGTATTTAAAAAAAAAATAGGGACATCATCAAGACATTTATATTTCACCTAGATGAAACAAACCCAGAGGTCATTTTTCCTGACCCATTAAATCTGCTTACCATCGTCGATGTATCCCCTCGGTTGCCCCCTCTAGAATCGTTTGGAAGGCAATTCACAAATTCATGGGTTTAGCGAGAATTAAGACCTTTATGTGGCTCATATACTGGAACAAAGTCATGACAAACGATGAGCGGGCTTATCCGGCATTATATTACGGATAGAAACTAACATGTTTGTGGTGCGAGTGTTGAAGACAACAACCATGTTATTTGTCTTTGTCCTCCTGCCACTCTTGTTTGGAGGGAATTAATCAAAGCTGGTAGATTATCAGATTTCTTATCTCTAATTTTAATTGATTGGGTGTCGAACAATCTAACGAATCCCTCTTGTTTTGCTATTGATCATAATGACTGGGAACTTTGCTTTGGCGCTATTCTTTGAAATTTATGGATTGCTCGAAATTCTAAAGTGTTTGAAACTCCCATTGATAAAGGTGTCGCAACCGTCTTTCGGTTGGGGCCCCGGAATCGGGCTTCAACTTGAATGAATTGGGTTAGAGTCGCCACCGATCATTTTAAAATGAATTTAGGTGGGTCGGACACCATCTTACCTGATCTGCGTTGTACCAGAAATGTGTCGGGTTCGGGAGTCGGTTACGGTCAAGGAAGGATTAGCACCCTTGAACCGCCCTTTCGGTACCAATTAATTTATCGGTTGTCTTTAATGGCGAAAATTAAAAATTTAAATTGAAATTTAAAAACCCGATTCAAATTACTTACCTTTGATTAATTGAGGTTATTACTGAAAAAGGAAAAAAATGTTAGGCAGAGAAAAACAATATATAAAAACAATGGTACTAAAAAAAATAAACTGAAGGAAAAATAATAATGAAAATATGTATACCAAAGAAATAAAATACAATAAAATTAAAATTAAATAAATAAAAAAAATAAAGAAGTATTAAATGGATAAAAAATTGGTTTAAAAGTAAAAATGAAAACCATATGAGGTAAAAAAAATACTAATAATAATTAAAAAAACATGATAATAATAAATAAATAAAATAAAATAAGAATTTAGGGATCAAATTGCAAAATATGTAAAATATAAATGAGGACCAAATTGAAACAATTGAAAATCCAGCGGCCAAATTGCATGTGGTGACTAAAACGAATTGCGACTCAAACTTACAGGGATCACAGAAAGGAATTAACTTTCCTGTAATTGCAACTTAGTCCCCCGTATATAAAAGGCCTAAAACCCCTAATTTTCCCTCATTCTCTCATTTCACTCATTTCTCTGAATTTGAGAGAAAGAAAAATCTCTCTGAAGCTCTCTCGCCTGGGGGTGTCCGGCCCCTGCCCGATGACCCTTCCGTCGTGTCGACCACCGTCTCGGCCGTCGCTCGCGGCGGCCGAAAAATCTAAACACCCAAAAATGCTTTCCTTAACCCCGTAACCCCGGATTCGAAGCCCATTTACCTTAAATCGTTCTGACCTAGAGTAGATCTAAGCCGAAAGGCTTCGACTTTTACCTTTCCGACGATAACTCTTCAGTTTTTTTTTTCGTGCTTGGTTCTTCTCGCGACCGGAGATGCTTTATTTTTGTTTGTTTGTTTTCAATTTCTTACTGTGAGGCTTCGGCTTTTGGGTTCCTGTTTGGTTTTTTGTTGTGTTGTGGTTCGAAGATGGTCACTGCTGTTTGTTGTGGTCTTTGTGGTTTGGCTTTCGATTTGTTTGACCGTGGTGGTCTCTATAGATTTTGGGTACTGTTGATGGTTCTTCGGTTTACTGTCTTCAATGGTTCTCGATGATGGTGTCCCCCCCTTGTTGGCCTCACCGGGGGCTTTTATAGCCCCGGTGTTGGTCGCTTGACTCCCGAAATGAGTGCTGTGATGGTTCCACTATTCCCGTGTATGCCGTTCGTGATATCGACCATCTCGGGATGGGTCAGTCCCGGGATAATCGGTCGGCCGTTTCGGCGTTTGACTGACGCGTGACTTGTTCTCCATGCGGCGCCTGAATTGTTAACTTGATATCACTTTAGGGTTTCCCAAACCCTAAACCTAGACGGGCTGGGTCAGGCCCAAACCTGACTGGACTTTTGCTGGACCAAAACGATGGACCCTGGAGAGAAAAGAAAAAATAAATAAATAAATAGGAAATAATAATAATAATAATAATAATAGTAATAATAATAAATAATAATAATCTATATAAATTTTTTTCAAAAACATATAATATATAACTTTTCAAAATGCTTTTTTTTTAAAACTATATATTATACGTATTTTCAGAAACGTTTTTAAAAACATATACAATATATATAACTTCAAAAATATTTTTTAAAAACTATATATTATATATATTTTCAAAATGTCTTATATAATATATAAATATTTTCAAAAATGTTTTCAAAATTATATATTATAATTTTCAAAATGTTTTCAAAACTATATATTATAATTTTCAAAATGTTTTCAAAACT